CCCATTCAGCTCCTACTCATCGAGTTGGGATCCTCCAAATCGTCAAGTAGACCTCATAAGTCATGTGGCCTGATTTGCTTCTATACGATGAGTTTGGGCATCCAACTCGTCGAGTAAGTCCACGAATGTGACTAATAAGATTTACATTTTTAATACTTGGGAGTCGGGGTGTTACAGATCCCTAGCACCCCATACAATGGTGTATGCTCTTTGGGGTCATTGGCCATGGCCTCCTTGCTTTTAAGGTTCTTAATATTCTAAATATATAGTTTATCTATTATGTAAATTAAATATTTACTAACTTGGTTTATTAGGCCCCTTGATTTGAGTTTTAGTTCTTAAAATTTGGGAATTAAATAAGAATATATGTAACTAATCAATCAAAAATCCAGAAAATCCCTCAAAAAATCAAAACAAATCTTATTTCATTAGAAGACCAAGTAAACTAGGAAACTATATCACTTGAAAGCTCTATACAAAAAATAAAAATCGTAATGAAATTTACTACTCTTTTAACTCAACGTTTGAGTTTAAGAAAACAATTAACTTTGAAAAAATTATCAGGCTTCTGAAAATAGTAATGTCCTCACAGAACTGCCTACCTCCATCATCGGGCACTTCACTGTTCGACACATATGTACGCTCTATCTTTTGTTTTAGCTGGTCGCCGCCTCGCCAGACTGCACCTCTGAGTTCTGCCAGCTATAACTCTCCTTCTCTGGTCTCTTCTCCGTCGGAGCAAACTTACATAATTATATATATATATATATATATATATATATATATATATATATATATATATATATATATAGGAAAACTGCAATAAAGTCCCTAAGTATTGCCCGTATAATCGATTTAGCCCTTATATATATATATATATATATTTTTGCAATTTAGTCCTAAATACCTGTAAACGTAATCAAAACGAGATATTTAATAGGTTAGCCGGTATCCCACCGGTGTTTTGCGCATGTGGCACCTTACGTGTACAAGTGAGTTTTACCCTTCCATTTCCACTGCATTCGACGTCTGGTAAATCGATTGAGAGAAAAAGATAGGGTTTTTACAGAGTGATACACGAAGGAAGTAAGGTTTTACTGAGAGAAACGAAGGTAAAACCCAATGGTTGTCGAATCAGAAGAAGTTCGCCATGAGTCATCTGAAGAATACGACTCTGAAGAATACGAAGATGATGACGAGGTGCTCGATACTGAGCACATAGATGTGGAAATGGAAGAAGATGATTTCAAGACACAGGGTAAAGAGAGATGCAAGGATGCTTTCCTTAACTTCAGTTCTGATTATGAAGATAATGAAGCCGATGAAGACAATGACTTAGTTGATGAAGATGAAGAAGGGTTTGGTTCAGAAGAGGAAATCGATGACACAGCAGGGGCTAATGATCTTGATTTGGGAGATGCGGTTGGTGCAGGCTTCCCCATTCACGACCCATCAGTTAAGTGGAATAAGATGAAGCCCCTTCTTGGTGAAAGGTATGAATCACCACATCAGTTGCAACAATGTCTCACTAATTATGCTATTAAGTCAGGGTATAACATTAAATTTGCGAAGTGTGACACTGTGAGATTAACTGCCAAATGTGGTTCTAAGATGAAGTCTCAACCCTGCCCATTCAGAGTTCATGCTTCCTGGATGACTCAAGAAAGGTCTTTTCAGATTAAAACCTTAGTCGATGAGCACAAATGTGTTAGAAATTTCAATATTTCAAATTTACTGAGTCCCAGATGGCTAGCAAGACACTTTTTGAAGGAGTTGATAATGAAACCTAACTTGAAGTGTAAGGAGATGCAATCAATAATTAGGACCAAATTTCATTGTGGTGTATCTTGGTCTAAGGCTTACAGAACAAGGTGTAGAGCAATGACCATTATAGATGGTAAACTTACAGAACATTATGCTAGGGTGTGGGACTATTGCCATGAGTTACTAAGGTCAAATCCTGGTAGCACTGTCCAAGTTGGTGTCACTGTAAATCCAGATCAAACAACATACTTTCACAGGATGTATTTGTGTTTTAAAGCAATCAAGGAAGGTTGGAAAATAGGGTGCCGTAGGGTAATTGGTCTAGATGGATCTTTCTTGAAAGGGACATGTAAAGGAGAATTACTCACAGCAATAGGGAGGGATGCAAACAACCAAGTTTATCCAATTGCTTGGGCAGTTGTTGACATTGAAAACAAAGCTAATTGGAAATGGTTTTTGGAACTGCTCACAGAGGATCTTAATCTGCTAGATGGAGGAGGGTTTACTGTAATTTCTGATCAACATAAGGTTTGTAATTTCTTTGCATATTTATGATTTTTCCTTAACATCATCTTATATGTTTATGTATTCATTAAATTGTAGGGATTGCTTGAAGCAACCAAAGAAGTCCTACCAAATGTGGAGCATAGACAGTGTGCAAGACACATATATGCTAACTTTAGGAAGACCTATTCTGGAGTGGAGTTCAAGAATATGTTCTGGGCAGCTTCCTTATCAACTGTAGAGAGTGAATTTCTCAGGAAAATGGATGATATAAAAGAGGTTAATCCAAATGCTTATGAACATTTGATCGCAAGAGATCCTCACACATGGTGCAGGGCATTTTTTAGGACTGATGTAGCATGTGAGGCAGTTGAAAATGGCATTGCAGAGTGCTTCAACGCCATCATATTGGATGCTAGAAAGAAACCCCTTCTAGCAATGTTTGAAGAAATTAGGTTGTACATGATGGATAGGTTCTACCATATGTTACAAAAGGCAGAAAAGTGGGAATCAGTGGTTTGTCCAGCTGCTATCAAAAAAATGAACAAGTTTGGAGAGGATTTGAGGTTTGTCTTAGCATTTTTATTGTTCCTTGTTATCATTATTCTAATTTCATTGTTATGATTTCATTTAGTAATGCCATTGTAGGAATTGGAATGTGAATCCAAGTGGACCATCTATTTTTGAAGCCAGGAATGGATTAGAAGGGTACGTGGTTAACTTACAAAGCAGAGTGTGCAGCTGTAGGCTTTGGGATATCTCAGGAATTCCATGTGTACATGCACAGTGTGCAATATTATTCACTGGACAAGATCCTGTTCATTTCATAAGTGAGTGGTTTCATGTGGACAGGTTCAAGGCCATATATGCAAACAATATACTACCTGTGAATGGTAGAAATTTATGGCCTAGAACATCATACATAAAGCCTCTACCCCCTTTAGCTAGAAGAATGCCAGGGAGACCAACTCTGAAAAGAAAGAGGCATGCCACTGAATCTCAAGACAAATACTCCCAAAATAAGATGAAGGTTACAGGAAAAGGAAGGACTGTCCAATGCAAAAATTGTCTTCAAAGGGGTCATAACAAGGCATCCTGTAAGAATCCCAAGGTCACACCAGAACCCAAACCCAAGAAAAAAATGGGTAGACCAAGATTGGATCCTGATATCAGTCATTGGACTAGAGGTGGTGTAAGAGGTGGTGTCAGAGGTAGTAGAGGTGGTGCAAGGGGTAGTAGAGGTGGTAGATGGGGTAACAGAGGTGGTGCAGTGGGTAACACAGGTGATGTAGTGGCTAACAGAGGTGGTAGGGGTAGTAAGAGAGGTGGTAGGGGTAGTAAAAGAGGTGGTAGGGGAAGTAAGACATCTGTTGGAATTGAAGGTGGTGGAGTGGCTGAAGTTGAAGGTGGTGGAGTGGCTGAAGTTGAGGATGACACTATTCCTGAAAAATATTTAGTCCATTTATGGAAGGCAATGCAAGATTTGAAACTATCAGGGTATTCAACTGAAGAAATTAAAAAGTCACTTAGTCTGACAGATTCACATATGAAACAACTCAATGATTACAATGACACTATTGAACAAGTTCTTCCTATGTCTATGGTAAACCCTCTATATTACCTTAATGTTTACATTTATTTATGTTATTAATTGCTTGATGTTTTATAGGAAGAGGAGTATCCACCTCAGACTGAGACACAAGATGGGGCTGAAGAAATTATCCCTGAGACACAACCAGAAAGTGAGGAAGAAGAAGAAGGCATTAATGACACCCATGAATTACCAGTACACCTTAGGATTGTGAAAAAAAGAAGGCCCTCTGAGAGGATTGTTAAAACCAAGCTGAAGAAGATGGGATGTGTTGGGACTTCTTCAAATTCAGCATTGGAGTTGGATTAGACTGTTAGGGTGTTAAGGGTAGTAAGGGTATTTTGGTACATATTTTGTGAATGCTACTTTTGTGCCTCTTTTTTGAATGCTACTTTTGTATATCTTTTGTGAATGCCCTTAAATTACTGATAACCATATTTTGTACATCTTTTGTAAACACATTGAAACATAGTGAATGCCCTTAACATGGTTGGTAATGACATATTGGAGTTTGTTGTTTAATTATTTTAGCCACATTGAAACATTGTGAATGCCCTTAACATGGTTGGTAATGACATATTGGAGTTTGTTGTTTAATTATTTTAGCGACATTGAAACATTGTGAATGCCCTTTATATGGTTATTTATGTCAAGTGTACACCATTTATGCAAACCAAGAAGGGCACCAGCAACACCTCTGTAGTAAGATCTTGTTATTGATCTAAATGATTCTTGACCAGCCTAACAAATATATAAAGAAAAAAGAAGAGATTTTTTTTAAGATTTCTTTTTATAATAAATGTAACAAGAGAATAAGGTATAGAAGAAAAGAAGGAGACAAACTGTGTCCCAGATTTGGAGCTTTATTGGTTTGTTGTCAATGGTGATCATTTTAGTCCCAAATTCAACACCAATTGTTAAATCATGGTTATATTTGTCTAGTGTACACCATTTATGCAAACCATAATAACATATTGCCATTTCATTAACCGAAACATTACATGATCCACAACAACATTTATCTATTACATCATGATAACAAACCAAAAGATTACATCATCCCTACCATACCATAATACCCTACAACTTACACTAAACTAACCATACATCATCCCTACAATGAAACAAACAAAACAAACCATCATCCACTTGCAGAATCCAAATTCATTACTAGGCACATGTGTATTGTCACACATTGCAATTTGATTATCAGGTTCAAGAGCATTCGCAGGGCAATAGGGACATCAACATTCACAGGGGCAATAGGGCCATCAACAGGTATTTCACCTTCATTAACAGGGTTATTAAAAGGAATAGCTACACCCCCATTAGCAACAGCTCCTAACTCATACATTCTTTCTTTATACCACTTATTCAATAGTGGTGGGTCAATCCAACGAAAATACCCACAGTCCTTCTCTTCATCCTACATAACATAGCAAGATGCATGTTTTTAACATAGAAAAATGGGAAATTTAGAGGATTAGAAGAATTTGAGTGAGTTTTGAAGATTCTATACCATGTAATTTGGGCAACCAAAAAACCTCCGACCTGGATTCTTTCGAGTCCATGATGTCCACATTCCAACCCTATCTCCACAATAGCACGTTCTGATGTTGGTGCTTGACGAACTCGACATCGATTTCCTGTTGCCAATTTGCCCTAATCGTTCGCTCCTTTGACTGGAGATTGAAGAAGACGAGCTCGATTCAATGATTTAGCCCTCTTAAATGGCACGTAGGATGTTATTTAACATGATGACTTCCACGTAAGCTGCCACATCAGTTAGATACCGGCTAACCTATTAAATATCTCGTTTTGATTACGTTTACAGGTATTTAGGACTAAATTGCAAAAAAAAAATATATAAGGGCTAAATCGATTATACGGGCAATACTTAGGGACTTTATTGTAGTTTTCCCTATATATATATATATATATATATATATATATATATATATATATATATATATATATATGGTACTTTTTCTCTCACTTATTTTTATATCACCGATTAAAAATCATATAGGAAAAATAAGATTGTATAGATATGGAGTGTGAACTTAGATAACAGGCAAAATACAGACTAACTCTAAAAAGCTAACAAATATTGCTGTAATGTAATACTATTTCCATTATTAATAAAATAATTTAGTTTATGTCACACCCCCAAACCAGAACGGCGGAATCGTTCGAGGGTGGATGACTTCATGTAGTATCGTAACAATTGAATACATAGTAAAGAAAGCAATACAACCATTACATATAATTTAAAAGTTTACATGTTGAAAGGTACTTGTTTCAAAAGAAATTACAACATGATGTTTAAAATGAAATTAAACTAACGCCGCAACGTACCTTCTTCAAAAGCTGCAGTTTACCTGAATTACTGAATCCCTGAGAAATACAAGTGGTTTTGAAAGAGTAGGTCAGTATTTAAGCTGGTGAGTTCATAAGTATTTAGTGACAATGTTTATATGAAAAAGAATGAAAATGGTTTGTTCACGTTAAATGTTCCAAGAAAATCCCATATTTTCTACATAGTAGATGGTTGTTTGATTTGTTCCAAAATTGTTATGCAATAGTGTTTTTCATGCCTAAAATAGTAGTTTTATGTGCAAATCGTTAAGGCATTCGACAAATCTCGTAAATCAATGTGTTTTTAATACCCCATGTGAGTCTTATAACCATGCTATTTGACAAGGATGCCTATATCAACGTTCTTCAGGCGTTGGAAAGTTATGACGTTTGTCACCCCAGGCCTGTCGGCCTAACTGTAGCTAACAACTTAGGTGTGGGATTGTCAATCCTGTATAGATCTATACACAAGTATCACGCTCCCCCTACAAGGGATTATGGTATATAATACAGGACTTAAAATGTATACTTAAAAGTACGTGAAATGTCTCACAAAATTTAGTATAAAACAGATTTACGTATGAAAATGTTCCAATTGTTCTTGTATATGAAAATATCTTCTTTGATGTAGTGTACCTAGTATGTAAATGTTCATGATTTCCTCGTAAACTATACCTATTATAGTTTTTCCAAGTGTGTTTCGTTCATCTAGTAAACCCTAGTGTAATGCTCACTCATTATGTAAAGTATAACACGTAAAGTGACTTAACTGTTCGCATATACCTAATGTAAAATGGAGCATTTGATTTGTGTGTGTGTGTGTGTGTGTATATATATATATATATATATATATATATATATATATATATATATATATTTAAACACATTTTATTTCCACAAGACAAGGTGTCATTGAAAGTATATATTTTATACGAGAATACTCATGTAGTAGTTTATGAATCACATTTGATTACTTAGATAAAAAGTTTATATAGTGAATCGTTAAGTTACACCCGATAATAACCGCGTGTTTTACTTGCATTGCCCCCTTTAATATTGTCTAAAAAGCATTTATAAAACATTTAAAAACGTAGTTTATAGGGGTATGAACTCACTTGAAAGATCGAAGAAAGTGAGATGAAAATCGAGCGGAACTTTGACTCGAGTAAGTGGATTTTTCTCGGGATTCTTGGAAATCTCGGGAGCACAAACGACCTTCAGGACTTGAGTATAGACAGCAGGGCTTCGGGATATCACGATCACGGAAAACGAGGCAAAAACGCAAGAAAGATGAGAGAAAATGGGTAATTTCCCCGGAACCCTCGCATCCCTTTTATAGGGGCTGGGAACCGCCTCGGTACGCTGGGCGTCATGCGTGACCGCATCCTCAACTGCCTCGGAGCTCGGATGGGACGGGGCATAGCCTCACATAGTGGCAACGTGAACGATCCGAGGCCTAGTCCTCACGTAAGCTGGGCGTACATTGTTAGGCCGGGTGTACCTTGGATTGGGCCGGTGACTCCCCCTTCGGATAATACCGAATTTTGTTTTACATTTATATTTTTATTATTTAGTAATCTTCAAAAATTTATATCTTCTTCATACGAACTCCGTTTTCGACGTTCTTTATATCCACGTGTAGGTGAGACTACGCTCTACAACTTTTGTTTAGACTCCGTTGGCAATTTTGAAATTATTTTTATTATTTATTTTTAAAAGGCCGGGGTAAGAAAAGTTCGTTAGAAATCCATAACTCCTTTATCCTATGTCTATTTTTGCCAGACTTTTTACCGTTGAAATACCATTGTTGAGACCTTTGATTCGCATTTAGGTCATTCCGGCCAAAAGTCGCTCGATCTTTGTTTCGAGTTTTTAGCTGTCTACCGCTATACCGAACTTGGAAAAATTATAACTTCCTCATACGAAGTCAGATTTGGACGTTCTTTATATGTACGCTCACGGTTTAATGATATCTAACATAGTAGGTAACCAAAATAGAGACTTTTTGTACATTTTATTTTCAAAGATAATTTCATTATTTTCGAAAGTGGTTACAATACTTGGCTTTTTAAGTCATTACATGGAATCGAAATATCGGGTTGCCACAGTTTAATTATTACAAAACATCTAAAACATTAGACAATGATAAAAAATAAATCTAGAAACACAAATATATGTATATTTAGTATGTAATTTACAAACATAAAATGGGAACGCAATATATATATATATATATATATATATATATATATATATATATATATATATATATATGGGTTTATTGTTTGCGTTCTAAAATTCAATTATGATTACGACATCCCTTTTCATAATATGAATTATAAGAACTTGGCAAATAAAAATATTGTAGCAAAAGACTGGTCAAGAATCATGTCTTTATGTGAGACATCATGAATCGTGTCCCATTTGCTTTGGGTACAGGATCGATTTCATGTGCTATAATATTTATCATTTCTAAAATTTTCCAAATGCCTAGGGCATTAAGAAGGGAAAAGGTCTAGAATTGGATATGACTAAAATGATTAAGCAATTGTCGAGGACAATCTAACGTTTACCAAAGAGTGGTTGCTCAGGGACAGTTGGATGTATAATGTTAATTTTTGGAAGGACCATATTGACATATTCTGAAAAGAGGCAACTCTTGTTCAGAAGTGATAGTCAAAATGAGAATATGGGAAGGTGGAAGTTGTTCAATAAATCTGTGTAAGATTAGGAAACTTAATGAAAGAAGGATGTTTCCAAGGAGTTGATCTCCTTTGGAATGCTCTGTAAAGTTTGTTGTCAAGTCTTTGTGACTTTGTGCATAATCATTACAAGAGGATCAATATATATATATATATATATATATATATATATATATATATATATATATATATATGTATATATATATATAAGTTTAGAATCTAACACATTTCGGTAAATGGTATGAATTTGGAATTCCTGCATCTGCGTTAAGGATTTGGGAGTGTGAAAAGAGAATCAATGAAGTTATGTTCAATCGATCTAGTTCACAAAGTAAGGATCATAGACAAACATAGAATGCATACTTGGTGTATGACAAAGCTATTGTTTGGAAGAACATAGTATACATGCTTGGAGCATGGGACAACTATTGTTTTAAAACAAGTATAAAGTTTATAGTTTGAAACTGTATGTAATGAATGATGAGTAATCAATATGGTGATAAATAAAAGATGTTTTATTTATATTCATAAGTTCTGAGACCATATTAGATTCGATTATTCTTGTGTTTCACTTTGCATATTTTGACTTCCGGGATAACTAGGTTCTTCTTCGTGAATGACTAAGCTATTCAAACCATCCACAGTCGGTCATATGTTGGATGTAGATATGAATCAAGACTATCATGGGTTGGCTTGTAGAGGTCTAAGATGTTGGACAAAGTGGTGCTACAACACTCATTAGTGCTCATAAGTCATGAGTATTGGATTCAACCCACGCTCATTGGAATCACTTAATGGATTTTATCACGAGTAATCATGAGACGATAATATCTTATATTCTTCAATCCTAGAGATATGAGTTGTTACTATGAGTTGGTTATACATTGATTGCATGAAAACACATGGGTAACTCGATGTTATAAAACGTGCCTTGTGTATGATTCAACAAGTAGTAGAACAAGCCATATGAGTCGATGTTTATCCATTCCTTTTACCTTCGGGATAAGAGTGATATATGTGGGCCCCTCGATCATTTAATGATGACACATGTGAGTGCTTGGCCAAGCAATGACTGATTTGATCTGTTCAATCAGTTAGTCGTCATAAATTGGAAATCGGGAAACAACAAAGGGACAGAGAGAATGATTTATAATCCATGTCTCAGTCCATATGATATCTAGAATGGAGGAATATATGATCCCTTATGTAATGGACAAGTCATTGACAAAGGTTAGAGTTCGTCGACAAGGTTAGAGTTCGACAACGGCTTTTGAGAGCTACGATTACCAGTTAGGTTTTGAAGTCATACTTAATAGTAGTTTTAGAGTTATCCAAATGGGAGACTGTTGGATTAGTGTCTAAGTCCATAACTATAATTGGTATGTACTTTACCCGACTCGGCATGGTCTATTTGGGTTGCATGGTATCGGAACATTTGGATAGACCGTTTGTGAGAAAAGTGTAACATCCCGGAATCGCAAGAGTAGAGTTGAAGGGCTAGAAGTGTAAGTTTTAGAGGGTGACTCGGCGAGTCCATGGATAGACTCGGCGAGTCAGGTCGCGACTATGGTCGCGTATC